AAGATTCACCCCGAACAAGGAAGAGGAAAGGGAAGGAATAAAACTGGCTCTCCAACCCACACGCCGGAACACAGCTAGGCTATTTGGCGGCGGACTCTAGTTGGAGGGTGGTCGCCAGCCAGTCGGACAAGTCCTACCACCGATTATGTGTTCGGCTCCCGTTTTGCACCACCCAGGGGTCACTTGTAGGGAATCGCGGGTTAAACCTACGGAAGCGGGAAGCAATCAACCCCCAAACAAACAAATTAACACGGAAACATCTAATTTTAATTCCCTATATTCTTTGTCAACAATTTGCATGTTTCCTGTTGCAACTACAAGGATATCGTAATGAATGGGACATTGCGATATCCTTGTGTATATTTATGTTTCATTTTAAGCTCGATTATAAAAATTCTTACTGAAAGAATTCCCACTGATCTATCACACTATGCTCACGGCACGAATGGTAACGAAAATAATGAAAATTAAATAGATAAAATCCATTCGATGAAAGGGGGAATATCCCGAATTTATCCGATATGCCAAAAAAGTGGAGACTTTCAGGAATGAGGTCAAAGTTATAATTAAACAGTAGAACATGTGTTTTGCTAGTTCAAACTAATTGCTTTGTAGTAGAAATATGCTGGATAAGGGTATCTACCCAGGTGGTCGTTCGATAAGCCCTGCTGCTGCTGCTGAGCTGGCGCTATGACTCCGAAGTGGGTCTTGGCCTCCAACAATAAACTTTGCCATTCGTCCCGGCGCTGCGCAACACCTTGCCAGCCTGACACTTGGAGCTCCCGTAAATTTTCTTCCACAGCGTCAGACCAGCGGTACTTGGGCCTCCCTACGGGGCGGCTTCCCTTCAGTATACACGCGTACACCCGTTTCACAGCCCGATCCTGCTCCATACGTACTACATGCCCGAGCCATCCGAGCCTCCGTGCCTTCATCTCCCCCATAATATTTGGCTCACCAAAAAGCCTCTCCACATCCTTATTTTTCCGGACGTGCCAAGAACCGTCTCCTTTCCGAACCGGTCCTAGTATTTTTCTCAATACCTTTCGCTCCGTTACGAGAAGTTTTGCCTCTTCTTTCTGTGTAAGCATCCATTAAGGTCTATAGGGACATTGCATTGAAAACTTTAGGGAAGCGAAAAAAGCGTAATTATAGGAAATGGTGGACAGATGAATGCACCAAGGTGGTAGAAGAAAGAAGAAAGCTAAAAATACAGGCAGAGCAAGGGAGTAAGTGGAAGGACGAGTATATGGAAGATCAAAGAAAGACCAGACAAGTTATAAGAACAGCCAAGCGAGATCACATGAATGACATCATGAAGAATATGGAAAACCTGATAAGAACGAATGAGGCTCGAAAATTCTACCAGGAAATGAGATCGGTAAAGAATGCATACCAACCAATCGCACAATTTCTTGAAGCCGAAGACGGAAATCTTGTGGCTAACATTCGTGAGATCGGTGTAATGTGGCGTCAGTACTTTCAAAACCTTCTGAATTGCCCGCCACCGACGAAAGATTTAGATGACAACCCCCAAGATCCTGCGGAGGAAGAAGAAGTGGAACCACTGAACTTCGAAGAAATAAAAAAAGTTATTATGAGGCTTAAGAACAACAAAGCGCCAGGTATTGACAACCTACCATCTGAACTGTGGAAATACGGCGGAGAAGCCTTGCAGTCCAGATTGTACAATCTTATTAAAATGATATGGGAATCTGAACAACAACCTGTCCAGTGGTATTTGGGGGTCATCTGCCCCACACACAAAAAAGGCAGCCGGAAGAAATGCAGTAACTACAGAGGAATTGCTTTACTACCTACAGCGTACAAAATACTGTCTTACGTTTTACTAAGCAGGTTAGAGCCATTTTCAGACAAAATCATTGGGGATTATCAGTGCAGCTTCAGACGTAATTGTAGTACAGTCGACCAAATCTTTATTCTGAAACAGTAAATGAAGAAAAGATGGGAGTATGCACAAAGTATTCATTCGCTCTTTGTTGATTTTGCTAAGGCCTACGACAGCACAGATAGACCGACTCTATATAGAATCCTCATGCGCTTTAAAATCCCACAGAAACTTGTGAGAATGGTGGAGGTTGCTACTAGAGAAAGTAGAATGACGGTACGAGTTGGCGCTTCTCTCACTGATGAGTTTGACGTTGTGACTGGACTCAGGCAGGGGGACGCTCTGTCACCAATGCTGTTCAACCTGGCACTTGAACACGCCATACGGAAAGTGAACACACTTAATGGCGGAGTGTGGCTCAATAGACAGCATAGGATGATAGGATACGCCGATGACCTCGCTCTACTTGGAGAAAGAAAGCAGCATGATATAGATGCACTCAACTGCCTCCAACAAGAAGCCTCTCGGATTGGCCTTCGTGTGAGCCACGAGAAGAAAAAATATATATATATTTTTTTTATTGATTAGATGGGTGGACGAGCTCACAGCCCACCTGGTTTTACATGGTTACTGGAGCCCATAGACATCTACGACGTAAATATGCCACCCACCTTAAGATATCAGTTCTAAGGTCTCAGTATATTAATTTATTATTGCAGATACTTTTATGCTACGAAAAGTAAACGGAGTGAAATGAATCTATTTAGTTTATGAAGTACATTTAAATAGTACAAACGTTATTTTAAAAAAAAGTCACTTGACGACTCATGACTGTTGGGTCGAGGGTCGTGGATTCGATTCCCACACCGGACGAACATCCGTGTGATGAACAGGCTTGTTTGTTCTTTGTCTGTGTGTCTAATATCTATTCATATTTAAACGTACATGGTATTGCTTAACAGTTTCTGGTTTCCACAGTAAAGGTAATTCTAGTATGGGGGAAGATGATCAAGTATGTAACTTGTCCCCGATTTTTATTATTAGTACCTATTGTATTTTTTAGTTAATATATTATGAGACGTGATGATATGAAATAACTTCTTTGTAAAATGTTTGAATTTTTTTATTGGAAATGAGCATGAATAGGCCACACTCTCAGCTGAGAGCCCACACATATGCCAAGGTATAAGGTAAGGTAAGGTAGGTAAGGTACGGTACGGTAAGCCCCAGAGTACCGCCCAGCGCAAGCGGAAACTAGACCCTACCAGGCAGAACTGGGGGTGTACTGTGTCCGCGGAGTTGAAGACAATCGTGTTTACCTGTCCGGAATTGCCCAAGATCAATCGCAATGGCGTAACACTGTTGAAGCATTCTGTTGTGTATTACAAATGAAAGTCGGAATTCCAAAGCAGACTGATTTATTTTTGCAACTACCTGCCCTTTTATAATGTGACTGAATATCTATACATAACATTGTCCTCCTCTTAAATTAATGAATACAAATTCCCGAATGCTGAATAAATGAGAGAACATGGTTGAAACAACGCGTTATATGATATTGCTTACACATGACAGTAAAAACAGGCAATTTCAAAAGTGAGTGTTCACAAGAAACAAATATCGTATGATTATAACTAACATAAAAATACATATACACAAATGATGTTTATACTGCTATTTCCTAACTAAATGATATGCGAACAATAACCCTATAAGGCTCTAAACACAATTTTCACGTTGTTCTTATTCTCAACATTTAGATTACTAGTATACCTGTCATAAATACATGTATATAATCTTATACACACACATGTAAATATATTTAGTAATTTTGGTCCTTAATTCTCTGAATACACGTTAAAGCAGCTTTACGGCGCTGACGCGATGGTTGCAAGACATTCGGCGCCGGCGAGTGACTAGGAGTCACAGGTTGTGGACTTTCCGGTCCCGTGTCATAGCTGGAGTTGAGCTCCTTTTCTCCGGTCATAC